ATGACAATCATGGGCAACAAACAGAACACGGCGGGTAGAAGACGGAAGAACTGCCTGTGGGCAGTGTTCTTTCCTGCTTGCTGTATCGCGGCATGAGAGTCCTGGCTTAAGGATTCATAAGGAATCTCCAGTTTACCACTTAAACCGACTCAATCGATTCCTGCTGACTCCAACATTTACAGCAGACTTTATGGAGTCTCTAATCCATGCGTTCATCACCGCAAAAGCCGCTGCATATCCATGCCGATCAGGCATGGCACTCGGTACTCTTCTCGATGCGCACCACGGCCGGCACCACGGCACCCCAAAACACAACCGACCACACGACACCGCAGCCCGGTCACAACCTTATAGGACTCACCAGGGGTACCGAACTGGGATAGTCTATAAAATTCTTCAACCTCTGTTGGTCACACCTCTTTTTCGTGGCTTCGGGGATATAGTTATAGCCTCTAGCCATAGCACCCATCGGCCGCTCCTACGCCGCACCCTCGCGGGTCGCTGTCATGGAGGGTTGGATGGTTGGCACCATGGTGACTTCGACTCAAATTGACTCCGAAAAAGAACAAGGCAATTGACATTCGTCTTGCGAGCCTTGCTCAGATTGGCGCTTCAAGAATGCCATTATTCTGAGCCATCTGTATCCATCTGTCGACGTCTCTTGACTCTACTACGATATTTTTGCAGTTGGCGCAGGAAAGACGCATACCCAGACACTCCATGTATGCCATATATGCCTACATTGACCCCCCAAACCACCCCAATGTAGGTAAATATGCCAGTCCCATGGAGTCTCCAAAGAATAGCATCCTCCAAAGGTACGAAACCCAATGTGCAAAGACAGAGTCCGGGATGTTCAATCTCGCCAATTTGTGGCGTTCCCAATGTGCGTCACCGAGTTCGGGATAGTCAAGTTCACCAAAGAGCTGCAACGCGCAAAGGCACTGTTCAAAATGTATGTCACTGAGTTTGGGATGGTCAAGCTCACCAAACAGCTGCAATACTTAAAGGCATCAACCCCAATGTGGGTCACTGAGTCTGGGATGGTCAAGTTCGCCAAAGAGCTGCAATTGTAAAAGGCACCATCGCCAATGTGGGTCACTGAGCCTGGAATGGTCAAGTTCTTCAAGGAACTGCAACCACAAAATGCATTCTCTCCAATATGCGTCACTGGGTCTGGGATAATCAACTTTGCCACTTGTTTGCAGTCCTCAAAGGCCCTGTCAGCAATTCGAGTTTCATGGCTTGGGAGTTCAACAACGAGCAACACTTCTGGGGCAATCTCACTGCTGCGGCTGTCGATCTCATCTGTGTTAGAGCATCTAATTCTGTTTGACTTGAAGAGAACGCTCACAACACCACCCGCAGTGACCCCTACATCCGCCACCGTTTCATCATTGCCCATCAAACGCTCTCCTAGAACAATCTCAACCCCAGTAGTTCTGCGAGTATCCTCGTCCCGGGTCAGCTGCCTTTCTTTGATCTGTTGCTTTAGCTCTCTACCTGTTGTCTCTGGTGCCACCTCAAGACAAATTGGCTCGCCATTCACCAGTAGCGCTGAGATTCTCATCGCCATTGGCTAGTATAACCAATCCCACACACTCCATGTATGGCATATTTACATGCATTGACCATTGACCTCTGAAACCACCCAATGAACTTGGCTGGGTTTTATGGATGGAAAGGCAAACATGTTGCATAGTTGGAAGATCCAGGTTGGGCTGATCCCCGAAGAAAAATAAAACATGCTTGGTCTGCAAACAGCTGAATATGAAGGCTCCCATGGTGGTGTTTCAGGATGTAAAAGTATCTGCAATCTCCAGTTTCGACATGGTTTAGTTTAGATCTTCAAGGAACGTTTCGTTTCTGGATGTCTTTCCCCTGCTTCACCTGCTCATCAAGGAATCTACACCTCCCGTGACACCATAGCCAGGCAGGAAGCTTCGAAAGGTTCCTCTTGGAGCCCCAGCATGCCGCTCTCATCTGGAAGCCTAGCAGAACGTTTCTTTTCATCTTCATGAAGGAAAGAAACTTCTCTATAGTCTTGGATTTGCTTGAGGAACTAAAAAAAACGTCTAAAAACTCACATATTCACCACAAAGATCCACAAAGGGTATATAATATACATAAAGATAACACTGTTCACCATGAGGAAAGTAACATCACCTTAAGCAGTTCGTGCAGCGGAAGGACGTTGCGTCATGAGTCGGACGGGTTCGCGGGAGGCTTTGCTCAGGTGACGCCCAAAGCGAACAGGCTCTTTCAGGTGACGCGCAAGCGTGGAGCTCTTACCAGAAACCATTCAGACTTAAGCAAATCAAGGGCACAAGACTATCAGTTATATAACAGTTATATACATCTATACTTTAGATGTGCAACAAGAAAGGTGACTGTCTTGGACGTTGCCGCTACATGCCACTCCAGTTCGTTGACCTATAGAAATACAACATCATTATGCCACCTTACCTCAGCTGCATCGTAGAGTTTCCCTTCCCAACCCCCAAATGTAACGAAATCCTCCCCAAATGAAACGAAACAGCCTTATCCACGGCGTGACAATTCCTTGCAAAAGGAATCACCAGCGCCGACTCTGCTCCAACACCTCCGACTCTGCTCCAGGGCCGGATCGAAGAGAGTGACAGGGGCGTGAAGAAATGCGACGCGAAGGAATGATGCCAAGCCTTTTCAGGCACTGAACCAAGCTTTTTGGAAATCAGCTCGTTAAGCTCGTGAAAGAGCTACAACCCCTATATACCCCGTTATGACTCGTTATGTACCCTAGCTATATATACCAGGTGGGGTAAAATGAATCATTGGACGTTCTAGGATTTGCAAACATTCTCAAGATGTGTCGCTAAGTCTGGGATGGCCGGTACTTTGCCAGAGAGCTGCAGGCATTCAGGCATAGAGGCACGGCACCATTTCCAATGTGGGTCACGACTGGCTGAGCTGGGATGATCCTGCCGCTTTTAGCCTTGCCTTAGCCAAGCCTTGTCACGCCGCGCAACGCCGCGCCTTCGCCTAGTCACGCCTGCAGCTCGTCGACCGAGCTGGGCCGCGGCAGAAGGCCATGGAGCCTCTCAAGGCCTGACCCAGATGCGATCCAGATCGGACCCGAACCGTTCTGGAGGGGTCGGACCCGGGGTCTCCGAACTGGTCAGGGGTCTGGGGTTTCTCACCAATCCCGATCGGTTTCTGTTTTCACGGAGCGTCTGGGGATAATCCGAGCATCTCTTTCTCTGAGGTGCTTTGAAAACAACACACAGCAGGAGTATCCTTAGTGAGCCCCACGCCTGCCGTCTGCTACTTGTTCATCGTTTGCTGAGGAAAGGCTCTCATCGCGCTCTCATCTGTGTGTGCTCTCACATGTGTTCTCATATGTGTGTTCTCATCTGTGTGTGCTCTTATGTGCGAATGTCAAAAGTCTCTACATGCATGCATGCATATATGTCCATGCTGTCGTTCTTTCAACACTGTTTGGGTCACTTGCCCGGATAATGCTGTTTCTTTTGACTTCTATTTCAATTGGCAGTGTTTACGTGATGATGTCTGAAAAAACTCTGGACACGCGCACTTGCTACTAAACTGGACCTCACTTGAAACCTGTTTAGTTGGATCAACAACTCCAGTCCGGTGACATGGCGACTCCTTTGGAACATCGAACCGGGAACCCAAAACGGACCCGACTGACCCGACGAACCAATGGGAGTTCAACATCGAACCGGGAACCCAAAAACAGGTCAGGTTCCGCACCCATTCTCTGAGGTGATCTTCCCAAGGACTCCAGGTGATCTTCCCGACTCCAGGGTTTTTTTTGGTCATGACCCCGAACCTCGGGACCCAAAACATCACCCGATCCGCAAAACATCATCCCAAAATGGCGAATTGCACCCAAATGCTGTTTGATACTTCCAGCTTCCAAAATTGCATTCGATCAAAACAAACCTGTTTGAAGATGTCGGCTCCTGGTACAACAAACATGGACATCTGCATCTTGTTTCTTGCATAGTCTGCCGAGCGACATCCAGTCCCCCCTGACGTCCCCATCGGACGGGCGCCTGAGTCGGTACCAGCAAAATCAAATGCTGATGTCGCCACGACACCAGGCTCCTGCTGACTCCTGCTGACTCTCAAATACTCGAGTCATATTGGTTTTTAATGTTGTATAGAGTCCATGTGCTCCCTTAGTGAGGAAGTGCTGAAATGTGGTCGTCCTCATGCCTGCTGTGTATCGCTGTATATCAATTAAGATAGTTGACTTGTATATATACTTGTATATGTATATACATTGTATGTGACGATGTTCAATAATTAGTGATCCATGTTCAAGTGTTTTCCTAATTGATGTTAGATATTATAAATATATTAGATTATATACTATATTTGAGATCTGGATAACACTGTCTACAGCTGGGAAAACAACAAAAACACTTGTCGAGGAATAACTCCAGCATACTCCAGCTATAGTTGATTCGGAATTCAGCTGCAACCACCTTGCACCTTCGACATCTTTTGCCGTCTTTGACCTTTCATGTTTGTTGACCCGTTGAAACTTGAACCTGCACAACAAAAAATCATTCAAGTGTATACCGATCAATCTTCCAACTATGCAACACTTCTGCCGAACTTGGCTGTTTTTATAGATGAAAGATGATGAACCATATTGAGGCTTCTAAAGGCATAAATGAATGTTGCACAGTTAGATTCACTTAACTTCTGACTGTTGATCATATACCAGGACCTTGCAACAGGCCACCACCTGGCACTTTTAAGTCTCCAAAAGCCACCAAAGGAGACCTGTAGAGTCGGGCGCTATATGTAAGCAGTCTTCGTTGATTTGCCAGGCCACTCTTAGCTGAGCCGGCAGAGCGAATGATTGGCAGCTGTCAGAGGTCCAAGTTAGTATAGCCTTCACCCGGGCAACCATGTGTCACAGTTGTTCTTGTTTCACACGGCTTTTGATGTTCTTTTTCGGCGAGTTCGTCCTCACCAGCGGAGCTCTACTCAGAGTTCAGCTTGAAGAGCGTGTAAGACCTGGCGAAGGAAGAGATTGTGATGGATTGTGCATGATTGTGCCATCCACTCTGAAGCCCCTGTGTTATATTCCAGTCGCATGTATGATTGTGGGGGCTCCCGATTGGTCGGTCGACAGTGTTCCAATACTGCGCCACCTCATACTCTGGTGACCTCCAGCGCCCTCCCCCAATCAGCGTCTGCTACCAGCTGTGAGAGTTTCCGCATGATCCGGGATGGACACTTCCAAAAGTCAACAGGGTCGGCTGGACAGGATAGGAGGGTAGGAGATGGTAGGAGTGCATGGATCTCCAGATCCCAACGGCTGCAGGCTGCAGGAGGGTCCCGTGCCACCTCCGCAGCCACGTCCCACCTCCACCGTCCACGATTGGCCTCCCCATCGGTTGATGCGCCGCCGAACTCGATGCACCGTGCACGATCGTCCCCGCACGACGGTGCTGGCCGAGTCACGTCTCTAAGCCCTGATACTCGATGACTCGAACCACCTTCGGCAGTGAGAAGGGCGGAAGCTCATAGTCGTACTTGATGTAGGTCCTCGGCCAAAACCAAGCTCCGGCGAGTCTGGGCGAGTCTTGGTACGCAGCTCGTGGATGGGTTTTGCCTTTTGGGACAGTCGGAGCTGAGGTCGATTGGAGAAACACAAGCTGGGCGCTGGGCCTTTTCAGACCGAGAAGAGGCCAAAAAGGGGCCCAATTGATTGAAAAAGGGTCACTTGATTGGCAAATATGCCAGTCCCATCAAGTGTCACTGGGTAATTCTAGATCTTCTAACTGTGCCATTCAGGTACGCCTTTTCATCTACAAAACCAGCCAAGGGCCCAGAGGCAGACGTTGTGCATAGGAATTATATGGTTGCCCAGACGCGACCCTGCCCTCATATGGAGGGGTCTGGGGTCTCAAATCCCTAGGTTTTGATGGGACCGGTCGGGCTGTTTGGAGCGTCTGGAGATCTATACCGCAAATACATTGGAACGGGTGAAGGGAGAACGAAGGGGCTTTTGAGGTGTTTGTGAGGGTGAACCTGGAGATACGCTTATCAAAGCTTCCGACCAGGCAGGGAGAGACTTCGAAAAGTGGAAAAGGCTAAGGTCCAAAACGGACCCATGTCCTGCGTCAAAGATTCGAATCATCCCCTACCCTGGCCTACCCTTGGAACTTTCCAACATCATCAAACTCATGAATAACCCTCCCCCTTCTGGTGACGAAGGAATCTGTTGCCGTCCGACACGATGCGAAGCTCCTGAAGCAAACGCCCGACTCAGCCCCAATTCACTTCTGTTTCAGGGATTGTTCAAGGATCCCCACGACCGATTGGACTGGGCGCACCCAGACATGACCGGTGGGGTGGTTCCAACAGAGGTGAGTCAGAACCCGAATGTTCGACTATCCCAGTTGGGTACCCCAGTGAGGTCCTAGTTCAGGTCACTATCCACCTCTCTTGGTGGTTTCAGGGGTCCATCTATGGAGCATATGCCAGTCCCATTAGTCGTGGCGATGACTGCAATCCTCGGCCCTGGGCCGAACAGCAGTTCCAGCCACTGCACCCCAGCCAAGCCGCCAGCCACTGCCCCCCTAAAGCAAACAGACTGGTACGATCTTAACGTCTTAACCAAGCCAACAAAAACCTGGTGTTGACCACTCCAAAAACGCACCTGACCTGGTCACCGACAAAAATGACCTTCGACCTCGTCCCCACGCCCACGCTCCCGTCTTCAGCCAAGGGCACGTGTGACAAGTCTTCTGGGCGCCCACGAAGTTGTCCACGCCTTCATGTACCTTCCAGTCTCCGCTGGATCGCAAGCCGTCAGACGCAGGCCGACGACACGTGCGGCCGCGTTAGTTTTTTTTGGCGACTCAGGCGACTCAGGCCAGCTGGGTGCAAGGATACTGGGCATCCTTTGGAGAGTGCTGGTACAGACATAGATGATATAGTAAATAGATGATCGATCCAATATGACAAGGACAATTCATGACAATTCACCTAATTGCACACTGGACTATCGACTGATCAGTTGGAGTGGTTGAAATCAGGGCACAATGTACTGCATATTGAACTGATCCTGCTGTTAATTTTGGGTCACTATGCTGCCTGAACTGGGCCCTGGCCCTGGTGACAAATTCGGCACCGTTTTGTCAAGTCTTTCCCCACAGTGACCTTGGTTCCCTTGGGGAGCTCAAAAGTGCCTTGCTATTCACCTAGAAGGGCGCCGTGTTTCCGCCGTTGACACCGCGGTTGACCCGCCGTTCGACGCTGTTGACGAGTCGGCGCACGTTGGTGAGCAAATAGCGGGCACCCGTCTGGGCAAAGCGCTGGATCGCGCGCAACGCATCCTCTGCGGTGGCGCAGCAGGTGCGTGGAACATGTCACTCAAACACAACCAATGGAACTACCAGGACCCTCCAGTCGGGGTACCCAATGGAAGCCTATAGGTAGTGTGGGGTAGTCCATTGGACACCCCTTGGAGGGTCCTGGTATATGCCTCTTATTTATACCGTAATTGGGGTAATTTCAGGGGTGCATGCAGGCATGTTTCATCGTGCATGGCAATGCATGCTGCATAAATATAACAGAAACTGTCTGGGTCATGTTGGGGTCGAGTTGATGTACCCGTGCCTTCGCATGTCAGACAACTCACGGTCCCAGGAGGTGCGTCGTGCGTCGTGTGAATGTCATGGGCCAGTCCTCACGCACGTCACAATCCCAGACGCGACCCATGGGACTGCCATAGGACTGCCGATCAGGCCAGGGGTGGTTTCGCGGGCCAATGTGGGCGTATATGGCATATAGTACAATTTCATTCAGCTTGTTTCACCCCAAAAATAGCCAACCCATTTGTTTTAAATGGCACACTTGCCCTGCCCTGCCGCATGGCTCTCAATGCTAGGTCTCTCAACACCGAGTCGGTCGCTGCGATCCTTCGGATCGCTCACATCGGTCGCTTCCACGGCCCCGTCGACCCACAACCAGGTCCCACTCCGTCCTCAAGGTGCATGTGGTTCACCCTGGGCACGGTCGTCGTCCGTCGGCGGACCGCGACCACAGCGACCGACCGGCCCAGCTGGACGCTGGACGCCCGGCTTTGGGGTGCAAAAACGGACGTCCCTGGATCACCTCCACTGGGTGATTTGACACCCCTGGCACCGGGGTGGCCCTGGTACTGAACTTCAATGGTGATACGTAACCCTTTTCTATACTTTTCTTGACTGAAAACCCCTCAACTTTGGATTCGCGAGGACGGGACCGTCCAGACTTGGTCGCCCAAGACGGCGACTCGACCGGACTCGACCGACCTTCCTGGGCCCCCAGTCCCACCAAACCGAAACGAAGGCACGACTGGAGCCCATCCGGGTGAAGCAAGTCTGATCAAGCCATCCCTCAGCTCTCCCTACGTCCCTATCTCTCCCCTTCTCGACGGCTTGTGTTCCACCTTGTGTTCCACCTTCCAGTCGTGTCCAAGGAAGGCAACCCATTGAAATGTGCCAAAATGTCATTCCAATGCTTGGCTGCAATAAGTTTTCTGCGCTGGTCGGCTGGTCAGGTCTGAGAAAGAAATATGAGATAAACATCGAGTGGTTGACAAAACCTATGGCTTGGAACTGGGTCAACCGGTTATTGGCTGGCCTCCACAGGTTTGTTTGTCAGGTCCGACGCTTAAACACTGAAGCTGTCACGTGCGGCTACTCAAAAAAACAAAGTATACTAGAAGATACTAGAAGTATATATAAATTGACGCACATCTTAACTCAACAAAGAAAAACGCCTCAAAAATAGAACACCTCTCTGCACCCGCTCGTGACAATGAGGGCTGGTCAAAATTAGTGGCCCCTGCGACAGGCCGACAATCAGAACTTTGACAGTATGCCCATCCCCAAGTGCCAAATACATCAGACATTTTGACCGCCCTCAGAAAGTCTGTTGGTGACTAAAAGGATCTAAAAGGTACACAGGCACAATGAGTTTATAGTGTCGAACTGACCGATCACTTCATCACTTGTGCCATTTCCCTTCAGAGAGGAACTTTGCCCTCGAATTCGGCATCTTCTTCCAGCCACATCTCTTCAGAGAGAAACTGCCACCCGCATCAATGACTTTGCGCTCTACCAGGGGGGGGGGGTGGCTATCGTGAACAGTCACCTGCAGCTTGGAAGACCCTAAGACGACTACGCCATTGAGAGCTCTTAGCCCGACTGCGATCTTCTTCGAACTCACGAGCAAGTGGATCTCCTAGCCGGCCCCGCCACCCAACGGACCAAACATGGAACCCAAAAAGCATGGCAAAGGTTGGGGTGGCCCCTTTTCCTCGGCTCCAGCCAAAGATCTTCCCCAGAAGTTGGTGTTTTGACCCTCCATGATGCCGTCACCAAATGCTCACCACATCCCAAAAAAAGGAGGTCCTTTGCGGAGACCCTCTCCATCTTGTGGAGCCCCAAGGTCTTGAGCAATTCCCCAAGCTCCGCATCCGAGTGCAAGAAGATCGGGCTCATCGTCACGATCCAGCGTGAATGGCCTGGAGGATGGAAAGCTGCGGTGGTGTGAGTTGGTTTCAAGAAACAAGCAGCAAGCAGTGTTAAACGAACACTTGGAGCGGAGTCCTGTCCTCTGGCTGGTGGCGTAGCCAGAAAGGGATTCACTCTTGCACACATCAGCGCTTTGGAGTCCTCACTCATTCTGCCCTCGTCGCAACTCCTGCCCACCGCCTGATCGGAGCGAAGCGAGCTCCGCGCGAAGCGAGCTCCGCGTCGAACTACCGCGGCCTGAAATCAGCACTCCCATGAGCCAGAAATGGCAGGCGGCGATTGGTAGATGGGCTGGGAAGTGACCAGAGCTAGTGGGAAAAGAAGGAATCCGTACAAATCCATGTCAGACTTCGATCAGATTTGTCATTGCTCGGATTCCACCGGATCATCTAATGTAGACTCTCGATGAATCAACGGTGGGGAAAAACACCACACTCACTTTCGGTGGCCGTCCACCCACTTCCCCCAAACAACAACAACAACAACAACAACAACAGCAACAGCAACAGCAACAGCAACAGCAAATAACAGCAACAACAACAAATACAAATGAAGCCATCTCCCCATTAAAAAGGACGTCCCCCCAAATGCTACCGCCCCAAATGCTACCGCCACCGCCGAATGTCCGGACGAACGGTCCGCCACCGAAAGGCCGAATGGCGCCGAATGGCACGCGCCGCCGCGACATCTGGGACTCCCGTGCGTCTCCTTGGAGAAGATCAACTGGGCACCCCTGGGCAGCGGCAGCTCTGAGAGGTCCTGAGAGGACTTCGAATCGAACGAGCCGAGCCGCGAGCCGAGCCGGGAGCGGACGAACCGGTGCCACGCGTGAGAGGGGGAGCGAGGCACGATCGAGGTGGGTTCCTAAGATCCAGGCTCTGTCGGAGCTGGGCCTTGGATCTTCCAAACGTTGGGGTGTGCTGAGGAGATCAGGAACGGGCTGTGTGGAGGGCTGTTAAGACTGATCCTGGGGGTGTTCTGCATTTCATGAACGTTTCGTGTTTCGTTCGCCGCCACAGATTCGTTGAAGGACTGGTTCACAGGACTGGCTCACGTTGTGAAGTGGGTGGACATAATCATGAGAAGAGCTTTTGAACCAGTCACATGGAGTTGGGTGGTTTTTTAGTCCCATCCAGTGAGCGGATAATGGGAACCCCTATCCTCCCAGTGCGGCACCCCTTTGCGACTCATTCTAGTCAATTGAGCCCAGCTCAGCTTGGAAAGATCTGCACAGAGCATCGATGCTCCGATGCTGGAACACATGACTGCGGGTGTCGTGCACAAGCTCAAAGCATACCAAAGCTACCAGCTACGAAGACTGAAGGTTTCGAGTGGAGTCAGCTCAAGTATATAATGAACTCAATGTGGTTCATGAAGGCAGACGCATCTCATGCGGGAGACCACGGGCAAGAAAGGCCCTGCTCAAGAATACTTTTTGCCACGACAACCACCACCCGCTCTGTCCGATCTATTCTGCTCTGCCCCCGTGGACCAGCTTGTTCGTTGCATCCATGTTCAAGCCATGCAAAGATTTGGAGATAGATTTAAGATGATTTAAGCATCTGAGCTTGGCAGTAAAGAAAAGCAACCTGCAAACGCATCAATCCCAATGTGGCTCACTGAGCTTGGAATGGTCAGGCTTCTCAAAGAACTGCAATACCTGAAGGCACTATCCCCAATGTGGGTCACGGAGTCTGGGATGGTCAAGCTCTCCAGAGAACTGCAACCCTAAAAGGCACCATTTTCGATGTGAGTCACAGAGTTTGGAATGGTCAAGTCTACCAAAGACGTGCAACTCCTAGCTGTTTCAGATTCAATGTGCGTCACAGAGTTGGAGATCATCAGGCTCACCAAAGAGCTGCACTTCATAAAAGCGCCAGGCCCAATGTGGGTCACGGAGTTCGGGATGATCACTTTGGCCAGCATGCCGCACTCGGAGAAGGCACGATCAGCCATGCCATGCGGGTTTGGTCGCCCGGGAAACCAACGATCGCAAAGAGCTCCGGTCGTCAAGTTCACCGCTAGAGCTGCCAAGTCCCTGTCGGTCAGAGCATGTCACGCAGGGACTTGCTTTGCTGAAGACTACATTGACGGGCGAATCTGCCAGCCTCGCCTCCTCCACCGTCTCATCATTGCGTAGCCGATCTCCAACAACCTCCACGAAGCTGTACTTTTGCTTCATATTCTCGAAGCTGTACTTCTTTGATCCACTGCTTTAGTTCCCTACCTGTCATCTCTGGTGTCAGCTCCAAATAAAATATATCGCCATTCACCTGCTGTGCTGAGAGTCTCATCGCGTGCTGGGAGTCTAGATGTCACCGTCTGCTAATTGATATGCCTTTGATCGCGCACCTAAGTGATCTTGGGTGTGCTTTCTCCCTTGTAGCTAACCCCCCCCCGTGTTGAAGACGTCTTTTGTTTTTGTTGGGTTCGGACCCTCACAAATACTCAAGGTGGACCTGTAGGAGTCTGCTGGGATCGAGGTCTGATCAGCTTTCTGCATGACGAGGGTGCTTCTCCTCCCTGACTATCCATCGCTCAGCCGCCGGAAGTGCAGTCTACCCGCTGCTCCGGAAAACCACGACCGGGAATCAAAGGTCTTAACTAACGGCATCAAAATATTTCAGAGACACCTCAGGGTGTTTAAGACTACAATGTTACAAAACAAAGAAGGTGGTCAGACCAGGTTCGTTTCACTTTCTCGATCGTATGCAGGATCGTCACGGTCACGTCGTCACGTCTCTCTGTTCCCTCGAACGGGGTCGAATGACTCGAACCGCTGCGGATTCGGCGAGTCCACCGTGTACCAAAGCATCATGTACGGTGCTCCACCCGACTCGGAGTGCTTTGCTTCACCGGTGTTTCCGTTCTTCCGGGAATTGGTCTCCTATATCTGCTTGGCCAGGAGGGTGGTACATGGATTGGTGGTGAGGGTGTGGCTTTGTAACATTCTGTCAAACATAGTACTGGGATGGTCATGGTCCCCAAGTCCACCAAAAAGCACGTCTCTTTTGACCACTCCAGCTGTTGCCAAGTGCAACAAACGGCCGTGCTACACAGCACAGTGCACGCTTTGCCGCTGTGCTTTTGTCACTTTAAATCTTGTTCTCGGGCATGTTCTGCATGGATGCAATCCATGCGCCAGAATGTTGGACATGTCTGCATCTCAACTCAGAATCTAGTCATCATCCGGGCCCATCTAAGAGCGTTCATGAATCATGGTTTTGCGAGACTGACCCCAAAAGGGTTATTCCAAGCTACTTCGCAGTAGCACCCCTTGCCGAAAGTCACGAAGAAGAAGTGTTCGATTCCTCCTTTCAAGGAGTGCACGATAAATGCATGGAAGCCCAAACATGTCTTGCTCGATATCTGTGTGTTTCTTTTGGGGTGATGGAGAATGTGCAAGAAAGCTCCCTGGCCATTTCTGCTTGCTTCCAGGTGAATACTCAAACCATATTAAACTCTTCCAACATGCCATCTGGCAACGATTCCATCCAAAACCCTTCGCAAACGACGTCCTGCTGCAGCCAACTGCCGTGCTGACTGCCAGGCACGGGTGGGTTCCGCATGTGAACTAGTTCACAACAACACCGCTTCTGGAGACCGTGGCCCCCGGGGCAGACTGGCCCTCAAACAACCACGAGACTCGGCCGCGCAGATGAAGGAGGTCGTCCGTACTTGGCTTTCACCGAGTCAAAGGCGGGCTTCTTGCGGCGATAGGCATCGACCACACCTTTGTGGTTCAGTCCACCTGGCCCAGGGGGCGTTTTTGGTTGCGGCGATGGGCGTCCAGAAAGCCCCGAAGACGGAGGGGTCAAAGACAGGAGGGGAGATCCGTCTCTGTGTGGCCGGTGGGCGGTTTTTGGGACCTGGTTTTGGGTCTTGTGGCTGTGGCGACCAGTTTCGCGGATGGATGGGGAGTTGCGCATGTTTGGCGCTGGAAGTCCAGTGTGACGATCTTTTAAATGGCTGATCTGTTTTGTTTCTAAGCATCGAATGTAAAATCCTTAGTAAAACAGCTGGTGGTTCGGTAAGTAAAGGCGATTATTACAACCATTCAACAATATATAATCCCTGGGAGTCAAAGACTATAAAAAGAATGGTCTTTAGCGGAACTGAAAGGGAACATCCTTTACTTCAGCTGGTCAAAATATAGTCTTTGGACTTCTAGGGAATATATAATGTTCGAAGGATTTCGAAGGACTTACTTTTCAAGCGACCATCATTCGGTGCGGTGCTTGCTGACATCCAGCGCCCGAACCGAACCGCACGGATGTGTCTCCTCGACCGAGTGACACCGTTTCGTCCCACCGAGATCCCATCGACGGAGAGGTTCGCAGGAGAATCATTCCTGACCCGTCGTTCCCCCATCGCCCAGGTCTGGACTCTTCACCATAACCCTCCCTTCGAATCGACCCAGTCTCTGGACAGCCCGGTCATCACCACTTTAGGAGGCTGTTGTCTAGACACCTCGACTGGTGGAAGGTCCTGGGATGAATTCATTTGCAAACGGATGGGCGCCCATCCTCAGATCCACCGAAACCAGTCGTGAAGGTGGTGTGAAGGGGTGTCCCACGTTCCTCACCTCTTGACAGATACCTCAAAGAGGAAGGTGCTGGAAGGTGCTGGGTGTGAATTCAAAAAGGGCGCTTTCCTGCTTTCCCAATGAGGGACTCTATTTAACTATTTCGCTTCTTCCAGGGAGGCATGGCCTGGGAGGTTTCCCAATATACACACCCCCATACCAGCACCCTCCCTGCCAGGATTTGCCAGGTCTACTCTGGAAGCTTTGGTGACGTTTTCTATTTCGCAGGTGGTGACCTGTGAAGTCGGGTGCTGGTACATAAGTATCCAGGATGGTCTGGGTGGAAATCCTGTCAGATGAACCTCAAAACGAGACTCTCCTATGGATCCAGGGGACCTATGGAAAACCAATGGATAAATTGGACATACTGGCTGCATGCCTATACTGGTCCATTGCCTTTGTAGTATTACCTGTTACACTACCTGTTACCTGTTGGAGGTTAATACCTATCGACTATCCAACTGTGCAACATGCATGCCTTCTTTTATTGATATTTATAAAAGCAGCCATGTTCGGCAGATGTTCCTTCGCATGTCGTTGGAAGATTGATCGGTCTTCCAGTGTCCGCCGCCGGTTCATTAGACCATCTTGCAGGTGTTTGAGCTATTCCACAATCCAGAGGAGATCGGACTACATATCAAAGATATACTGGACCCTGCAAAGTCCTCTAGAAAATGGGACATGACCTCATAAAAACAGGCCGGTACAAGACTACCCATTTTCCGAGGTACTAACGGGTTGACTCCAGGTATATAACACTGCTGTGATCGGACTACCCCTAATTATGACCTCTCTGGGACTGGGACAGGCACAGTTCCTTGATGATCCTTGTATCGGGTGGTTGGTATTGGAGGCTGACCCTCCAAGGGTGTCTCTAAATAGCATGCCTATAATTTGCCTATCTTGATTTCTTAAGAGGTTGAGGATGGTTATGCGGAGTGTCAAAAAAAAACCACCGGGCGATGTTGGAAGCGATGTCGGAAGGTCCCTATAAATCGATGCCGCCTTGGATTTTAGTGCTTTTCGACCACCAGTGCTTTGAGTGCTGCATCTCTTCTTGGATATGCTGTCCAAAAAGCCGGGAAAAGTAAAACAAATTCCATCTAGGAGGGTATTTGTCCACGCAAAAGCTCCGTGAACGACGTCCTTTCCCGGTCCCGAACCAAACCGATTGGGATTGGTGAAACCCCAGACCCCTGACCCGAGGATTCGAGTCCGACCCCTCCATATGAGGGCCCATGAGCATCTGGGTAGCGGGAAAAAAACAACATCAATCCCTATGGTCTGGGGTCTAAGCAATCCCTATGGTTTTGAGGGACCAGTCGGGCGTCGTTCACGGAGCGTCTGGAGAAAAACATCACCTTAAACCAGGTCGTCGATCTATTCTGACTCCTTCAGAAGCACCGCCCCCTCCACCGCCGGTCACCACCGTGCGAGCACGCCCTGAAACCAACGTCCCGACCTGCCTGATCGATGGGCGCAGTCACCCGTCAAATTGTACCACGCACAGGTGGGTGGCAAGCTTTGAGCTTCCTTGGATGTTGCACTTGAACCGGGACAACAAATCATCCAGTGAGAGCGACACTCCCCAAGTTGACGTCAACATTGCCCACATGGGCAAAGATGGCACACATGGAGTGTCTGGGTCAGACCAACCCACCTTTTTCCACCACGGGATTCACCCCAGTTCACCGACGAAATCCACCGCCCACGGTCCACCCCATCCGCTGCAGGCTTCGTAGTGGCACGGCCCACACGCTTGGGCCTCGTCCTCAGCACTGACGGCCCAGTCGAGACGGGGCGGCGAGCACGGGGTGTAGACAACGAACAGTGTGATTGTGTACCAGGACCCTCCAAGGGGTGCCCAATGGAAGCCTACAGGTAGTGTGGGGTAGTCCATTGGACACCCCTTGGAGGGTCCAGGTATAGTATAAATTTATGATAGATGTGTGTGTTTTTTCTTTGTGGTATGAATACCTGGATCTTCCAACGACATGCAAACATTCAGCCATTTTGGGCTGAATGTGTATGATTTTGTTTAGAACGAACAGGCAGAAATTCTGCACGTCGTCGGAAGATTGAGGTATGTGCTATAAGAGAGGACTTGGTTTGGACTCAAGTCACGAGTTTTCGACTCCCCCACAGCCACCGGCCCCGGCCCCTATTTGCCACCGACTGCTGCGGCCGGTACGATCGATCCCTACCAGGTGCTCGTTTTTGGGGGCAGAAGGGTCACTTGCGCATCACAAAATGGGTCACTTGCGCATCGGGGTCACTTACGCATCGACCCAGTGGGTCACTTGCGCATCGATGGGAAATGATGGTGAGATGTGGGAATTGTGCGCGGCCACATCATCACATCTTACCTCCGGGTGGGGTGGGGTGGG